TGCATTATTTGATGATATACCATTATTTATTGCAAAAGGATAATACTATGATTTGTGGTGTTTTCCTTAATCACTGTTTAACTGTTGACATCATAATATCGAAATCGGTATTATTTGCCACTAGGTATCGTGACACGCCCTTGAACAGATGTGGTGTAAAAAGTCAGTTCACAAATTCAGTATCCTGTGCGTCTACCACTGGCAGGCTTGACAACGACGACCCATAGACGACACTAAGCGACTGAAGAAAGCTCGGGGAATGCTGTCCAAATTCAACTTAGGTCAATGGCCGATTCTGGGCTTGACGTAAATGTCTCTCCATTTCATCCCACGCATGCTCGATAGGGGACAGGTCCAGAGAAACAGCTGACTAGGGGAGTACCGGAATATTCTGCTGTCTCAGGAAATCAGTCACAACACGAGCGACATGTGGACAGGCATTATCTTGCTGAAGCGTGAAGTTACTTACGTCTCTGTCCTAAACTGAACGGCTGCACATGAGGTCCAATGACCTCATCCCTGTATTGCAGACCTGTCACATTGCCTTTGACAATGACAAGTTGTGTCCGACCATGAGAAAAACGCACGCGTCAGCATACCGTTCACCTCGCCGTTTGTACACCCTTGCCCTACCATCTGTATTATGACTTCTTTGAGTGGCATTTTAGAAGTTGGGAAGTACAATATAGTACAAACGTTATGGATAACAACTTCGTGAGTGCGACGTTTCGATACAGATTCTGTATTATGACGGATTTTCTGTAAGCCGTGGCATAACGTACGCGCAGTTTAGGTTGAACTTATCGTGTTTTACACAACCTGCAGAGGCTACAAAATAATCAAGCGTTCTTTTATTTCTGCATTTTATTTAAAAATAGCTGCAGCTGACTTTCAATAGTGCCCATATTTTTCCCGCAACAAGAAATACCAAAATCATCCACTAAAAGCGATCCATCAAATGCAACATACTGTTTTATGCCAAATAAAGTTAAACTATGGTTTACGTATGTGAGGATTTGTAGAGGACTTAGGAATACATTCATCAGCTATTTCGTTAAGTTCATCAGAAAGTAATATCACAGGGTCGGAAACATTCATGAACAGTTCAGGTTTTAATTTGTTTGATGACAGTATTTCAAACAACGGCCAATTGGCTTCAGAGAAGTTCATCTTGATGTCGGAGGGTCATCAGACGGAGTTATAGCTTTGAGAATGGTTGGAAAATGGTCACTTCCACACAGGTCGTCATGGACTGACCAGTCAAACTCATTCAGGAGAGTCTGTCATGGATAAATCGAGAGAAGAGTATGTGCCGGTCCCAGGATGCAAATATTGTTATGACAGTGTTTTTTTTGTAATTTGTATTATCATCGATTAAGTGATAGTTTTTATGGGTCGCATGGCAATAGTATTTTTAGCGGTACGCCTTTTTGATAGCACTTCAGAGTTGCCTCCCTTGGCTTGCTATTATTTTGTTTTGACTTCCGGTCATATGTTCGAGAAAATCTTGCATCGTTCTGAGCTTTGCTAGAGAGAGACTGTGTAAGAGAGAGTGTTGAGAGAGCAAGGGGACTTTTCACAGATATTTGAGAGAGAGAGAGAGAGAGAGAGAGAGAGAGAGAGAGCAGACAGAGAGAGAGAGAGAGAGAGAGAGAGAGAGAGAGAGAGAGAGAGAGAGAGAGAGAGAGATGATTTTCACTTTTGTATAAGTAATTGTAAATTATTACAATTATTCTTAAGCCCTCTACAATTCCACTAAATAATGGCATTTGAGCTCATGGAGGCTCAAACGGAGTTCTTGATCGGGAGTGGGATCGACTCCCATGGAATTGGAGTGAAGGACTAACTTCCATTTCCAAAGGTTAAAACTGATTTTAATCCTTTACGGGGTTGACTCAAAAGAAGGCACCTCCACGTGCTGGAGGGCCCTGGTCCTTTTACTTTCTTATTGTCACTTTTGGATTCATCCTTATCCTTTGGCAATTCTGTCTCAGATGGGACGTCAATTATGAGTTGCGACAATTCCTCTGTCTTCTCTGTTGAAATATTTTGGGTATATTTGATTTTAAGAATCTGGGGTTTTCTTTCAAACCATGGGCATTTTTAGATGAGGTCAAATGCTCTCCATTGCAGTTAGCACACTTGATAACATTTGTGCACTCAGTGCTTTCATGGTCACCACTGCAACGGGAGCATACAGTTGTATTTCTGCGAGTTTGTCCATACTTCTGGCATTTAAAGCACCAGAGTGGTTTTGGAGTCATCAATAGAGAACGTGATACAGAGATACATGAACATCATGTATTCAGAAACGGTTCAATAGACTTGATGTTATTGACAAATTATTTTCACTGTGTTATTCGTTGTGAAATAATGTTCCAAGTGTAATGTATTGTACCTGCTGACGTTTAGTAGAGGGTACTGATGTATATTTAGACGTGTGCTATGTTTAGATCCCGGGAAGGTACTACTGACTGAGTTTTGGTTTTACGCCGCTTTTAGCAATATTCCAGCAACATCACGGCGGGGGACACCAGAAATGGGCACACAATGTACCCATGTGGGGATTCGAACCCAGGCCTTCGGCGTGACGGGCCAACGCTTTAACCACTAGGCTACCCCACAGCCCCTCGGGAATGCACGGGGAAGGTACTGAAGGTTACTTCAACCTTTGTGCCTTTCTACTATATTCTGACCCAGTGATTTGGAGAATCTTCTGGATTTTGTTCATAGTTATATAGAAGGAGTTAACTCTTGCATCTCATCTTACATTACATATCAAGTAAAAAGTAGACCAGCTATTGTATGGAGGCCTTCTTACCCTAGATACTTAGCCTAGGCCTATTTTTCAAACTTCACCATTGTTGCAGGAAGCGGATTAAGCATCTCTGTCTATGTTGTTATAATCACTGTTGTTGTATCATACTGACTTTGGGTTTGTACTGCCATTGTAATAACTTTGTAGTAATTTGTATTTGTAAGCTTAGTTAATTTTAGAATACAATTTCTAATTGTGACGTTTTGCTCTGACGTCACATGCACACACCCTTGGATTCAAGGTTTCTGTATAAGCCCATAACGTGGATATCAGTTATCCATAGACAATCCAATGACACCACACGTCATATTTGATATATTTAGACTTGTACTAGACTCAGATAGAAATACCCGTAACGCACTACAAGGAGCTTATTCCAGAATGATCTGCCCTTTGTGTAGAATTGTCAAGCATCTTTTTCTCTGGCATAAAAGGGGAGGATACAACGACATTCTTCTTGAGAGTTACGCCAGAATCTTTTGATGAACTACTCCAGAGACTCGCACCAAGACTCATGAAGGGTGATATCAATGCCAGGAGAGCCCTTGAACCTGGTCTCAAGTCAGCCTGCACCCTAAGGCACCTTACAGCTGGCGATCGGTATCCATCACTGTCATACAGCTTACAGCTTCAGGGTTGTTCGAGAAACCATTTGCAATTATATCCACGAAGTCTGTCAAGCCATAGTGGATGGGTATGCTGATGAAGTGATCTAGTGTCCCACCAGAGTGGGATCTTGGTGCTGTAGTGTCCCATGAAACTCTGCGAAGTGATTGTCGGCTGACCCTCCTTTTGTAGTCCGTTGGCCGTCAGATGTCACCGCTTGCTATGCTATATGTGTCGGATGGCAGTTGAGTTAATGAGCGATTACCTCCGATGTCACAACGGAGAGCAATCGGGCGGTGCTAAATATCATGTTACTCTCCGAGGAGAATCGAATTAGTGATGGGCGACTATCAGGCGCGTCGGGCACATCGCAGACTGCAATCAGATGAGCGTCAGATGACTGTTAATCACCGGACACTTATCAGATTGCCGTAAGACGTCGGTTAGACACGTCCGATAGTTGCACAACACGACACACATCGGACTGACTGGACTTTCATCCGACACTGACTCGATTTACGACCGGAAACAGCGTCCGATGGTGAACTAAGCTCTGAGATTAGTTCCTTCATCGGACGATTTAACAGAACAGAACAGAACAGAAATTTTATTTCAGTAACAGGTCTCCGGCCCAAAATACATATACATAAATTGATGGATAATTAGAGCACATATGTATTTCATTTAGATTTGTGTTTCTTGTCAACAAAGTATAAAAATAGACATACATCCTTGATGATATTAACATTTTTACTCTGTAATATAGATATCAAATTAATAATTGATGGACATTTACTAAAATATTTTGATATGTACTTATTTCTGATATGAGAATATGCATCACAGATATAAAACACATGCCATTCATCTTCAGCAACGAAGATACCATTTAATTTACAAAGCAGGCAATGCCTTTCATTATGTACAACATTAATGTATCTACCAGTTTCAACTGCTACTTTAAAATTACAACACCGAAATCGGGCATATGTAATTTTTAAATATTGAATTGGATATCAATATTTATCAAGTAGCTCAAAGATTTGAATTGCTTATAGTGAAAACATTTACAGCTACTGTCCAAATCGTCCGATGGCGAACTAAGCTCTGAGCTTATTTCATCGGACGATTTAGCCTCATCGGATCACGCCCGACTCGTCGAACACGGACCTGCTAGTCGACAACGGGTTCATCACATAATTGGGTTTCAATCGGACTGAGCCAGAAATCTCAGTGGAATGGCTCATTTACTGGGTGGTGTGTGTGTGTGTGTGTGTGTGTGTGTCCTGTGTTACCGGAAGGAAAACAACTTTGCTTCCGATGCATGTTCAATGTGAACCGATGAGCCCCCAAACAAAACTGCAGTAAAATCAATGGCTCATAGCCATAAATTATGGTCCATAACGCCGGTTAACAGGCGTGTAAGTGTGTGTCTTCCACCACAGGAACCATACACACGGTTCTGCAGCGAAATGTCGCACTGATATTTTAAAGCACTAACTTTGTGATCAATTTTATGGAGAAGCATGTTCTGAATTAACAATCACTAGGAGGACTGAGTTCAAACTTGACGCACCTACCAACCTCACTCACTGCACCACAATCACCACCAACCACACTGCACCACACGTCGTCCCACAATCACCTACCAACCTCACACACTGCACCACAATCACCTACCAAACCTCGTCACTACCAACCTAACACACTGCACCACAATCACCTACCAACCTGACACACTGCACCACAATCACTACCAACCTGACACTACCAACCTACCAACCTAACACACTGCACCACAATCATCACCAACCTAACACACTGTCACACCACAATCATCATCTACCAACCTCACACACTGCACCACAATCATACCTACCAACCTCACACACTGCACCACAATCACACACTGCACCACAATCCTCAACCTAACACACTGCACCACAATCACCTACCAACCTCACACACAATCACCACCCACAATCACCCCATAATCATCTACCACCACACCTCACACACACTGCACACCACAATCACCTACCAACCTCACACACTGCACCACAATCACCTACCAACCTCACACACTGCACCACAATCACCTACCAACCCTCACACTGCACCACAATCACCACCAGCTATCTCGTCCACAATCATCTACCAACTACCATCATCTACCAACCTCACACACTGCACCACAATCACCTACCAACCTCACACACTGCACCAGCCAATCACCACAATCATCACCTGCACCAATCACCACACCACACACACTGCACCACAATCACCTACCAACCTCACACACTGCACCACAATCACCTACCAACCTACCACACACTGCACCACAATCACCTACCAACCTCACACACTGCACCACAATCACCTACCAACCTCACACACTGCACCACAATCACTCTACCAACCTCACACACTGCACCACAATCACCTACCACACACTGCACCAATCACCTACCAACACACTGCACCACAATCACCTACCAACCTCACACACTGCACCACAATCACCTACCAACCTCACTGCACCACAATCACCTACCAACCTGTGCACACTGCACCACAATCACCTACCAACCTCACACACTGCAACCACTGCACCACAACTCACCTCTACCAACCTCACACACTGCACCACAATCACCTACCAACCTCACACACTGCACCACAATCACCTACCAACCTCACACACTGCACCACAATCACCTACCAACCTCACACACTGCACCACAATCACCTACCAACCTCACACACTGCACCACAATCACCTACCAACCTCACACACTGCACCACAATCACCTACCAACCTCACACACTGCACCACAATCATCTGCCAACCTCACACACTGCACCACAATCATCTGCTATCATGTACAAACATCCTGACATTTCTTATGGACCATTAGTTCTCCACCTTTTCACACACCTTCACACAACACACACACCTTCACACAGCACACACACCTTCACACAACACACACACCTTCACACAACACACACACCTTCACACAACACACACACACACCTTCACACCTGCATATTGTGGTCCATCACTCCATACCAATCCATCCGGGGTAGAAGAAGTCTGAGTAATCCTTTGAAAACTGCATTCTTAACTTGCTTCCGTCTCTGGCTGGATGTTTATAGTAGATTGTCTCGCCTCCTGCCAGGAACGAGGCCCACCAACCGAATGTTCCCACCGACATTATGGAATGATTACATTGGGTTAATACAGCGAGATCTACTTCGAATGGATTATCTTCCATGAACATGACGTCACTTCCGTTTATGTTTTCTTTACACCATGCAATGTCGTCCGAGCATACCAGGAACAATGTTGTGTTGTATTTGTTTCTGTAATACGTCATTGCCGTGGAGAAGTACTGCGGGGGAGCTACCATATATCCGTACTCAACATAGTGCCTGTTGTTGGTGATATCCCCTCTGCGCACGTGCAGGCCGACAGTCGTTACGTTGTCATGGCCCCTGCCTCTTTGTTGTTTTACAAATGCTTCTCGAGAACCCTGAAACAGGAAGGTAACCTCAGTGTTGCTGATACACATCGTGTTTGAGGCTCATTAGTATTCAGTTCGCCTTAAAGTCCGCCTGGGGCAAGTTGGGAGGAGCCATACATAGGCTCATACTAAAACGTATTGCAGAATACTGAAGCGAGATTTGTGTGTAGACAAATGCTTATGTGTGAGTGATTGTGTGCATGATTGACTGATTGAGTGGCCGGTGGGGCAGGATACGCCCACTGTTTCGCGAACACCCACTACAATCACTGAATTCTCTGGTTCAGAACCGATTTGTTTACAAACAGCATCATACAGCTGTAATACTGCTGAAACAAATATCTGCTCATGATATAGTCACATTGTACAATGGACTCTGCGTTTGGCACATATTTCTTATGAATATGGAAAGTGTTTTGTCTGCAAATGGCTGGCTCGAAATTTGTTGTCATCCTTCTAAATATAGCTTGAAAAAGGAATACGTACTCAAAGAAAATGCCATGTTATTTTCAGTTCTGCTTTCGTCATGCCTTTGTATTGAACTATCATACTTCTCACTACACCGAAAGCCGCTACCATCTCACCCTCCGACATTGTCTGAGTCGGGCAAATGTCAGTCATTAATAGATGGCGTTTAGGTGGATGTTACGGATATTTATTTTGAAGTTGATCGTAAATAAATACAAAAGAAGTAAGTATGCTGGTTGGTTGGCTGTTGATTAACGCCGCACTCCAGCTATTTGGTGGCGGTCTGTAAATAATCGAGTCTGGACTCTTAGTTGTTTTACAAATGCTTCTCGAGAGCCCTGAAACAGGAAGGTAACCTCAGTGTTGCTAATACACATCGTGTTGGAGGCTCATTAGTATTAAGTTTGCCTTCAAGTCCGCCTGGGGCAAGTTGGGAGGCGCCATACATAGGCTTATTCTAAAACGTATTGCAGAATACTGAAGCGAGATTTGAGTGAGTGAGTGAGTTTAGTTTTACGCCGCACTTAGGAATATTCCACCTATATGGTGGCGCTCTGAAATAAGTTCGTACCAGACAATCCAATGATCAGCAACATGAGGATCGATATACGTAACTTGGATACTATGACATGTGGCAACCAAGTCAGCGAGCCTGATCACCCGATCCCGTTACTCGCCTTTTGCGACATGCGTGGGTTGCTGAAGACCAATTCTAACCCGGATCTTCTCGGGTGTATAAATTTGTCATTCTATTACTTTATTTTGTTATAATTATTAATACAGATTTAAAACAGATTATTGCAATCAGGCTGGTTAGACTCATCATCAGGTCATCGTCCTTGACACCTTGTTTCTATTAGGGAGTGTGTTGTATTCCAGAGGTTGTTACATCATGCAGTATAAGTTGTCGGGAAAGATGACCATTTGTTTACTTACCTTTATAATGCTGACGGCTTTCTCACGCAGTTCGTCCTTGAACCTGAACTGTTGGCGGATGTCGTCTGCGACATGCCGGAAGTACATCCACGACTGAAAATACCGGAAAGGCCGATAATTTATTTTCTCGGTCAAATTCAGCAAATCTTTGCTAAACTGACAATGTTTGTCCTCGTAGACAAATTTGGCTGTTTCACAAACACAAAAGTCATTGACAACCTTGGCTTTTATCCGGAAGTACTTCAGAAAGTTGTTCGTTTTGGTCACCACTGACTTGTTGACCTTTGTCGCCATTCCATACACCGAGGCGTATGCAAACATGAAATTCCCCAATCTGCCCGGTATGTCAAAACATATATACCGTTTCTCTTTCTCAAATATTTCTTGAAAATCATCGCGGCATTGTTTTAGTGTTGTTGTCGTCATCGTTGATGTAGCTGTCGGAATCTGTTTGAATGTCGTTGATGTAGGTGTCGAAATCTGTTTGAATGCCTGCTTTCGCTGTGCCTCTAATTCAGGACCCAGATCATTCTGTAATTGCGACCTTGACCACGGTGAAGTCTTTGTGAAGGTCATCAGGATAATACCAAGGCAAATGACTGCTACGACGCCACCTACATAAAGTAAACATTAGTATACTGTGTCAAACATTTGCTATTCAGTAGGAGGTGGGTGGGGGAGGGGTGGGTGGGTTGGGGGATGTGTTGTGGGATGGTAGCCTAGAGGTTAAAGCATTCGCTCGTCACGTCGGCGACCTGGGTTCGATTCTCCACATGGTACAATGTATGCAGCCAATTTCTGGTGTCCCCCGCCGTGATATTGCTGGAATACTGTAATTGCGACCTTGACCACGGTGAAGTCTTTTTGAAGGTCATCAGGATAATGCCAAGGCATATGACTGCTACGACGCTACCTACATAAAGTAAACATCAGTATACTGTGTCAAACATTTGCTATTCAGTGGGGGAGTAGGGTAGGGGTGGGGTGGGGTGGGGGTGTGTGTGTGTTTTGGGATGGTAGCCCATAGGTTAAAGCGTTTCTCGTCACGTCATCGACCTGGGTTCGATTCTCCACATGGGTACTATGTGCGCAGCCCATTTCTGGTGTCACCCGCCGTGATATTGCTGGAATATTGGAGTAAATAGCGGCGTAAAAACATATTCACTCATTCCCTCATTCACTCATTCAGTGGAGTGTGGGTTAATCTCTGAAACTACATGCTGCAATTTCATACAAGGAGATTGTACTGGCCTGTTCCCTTACATAGTACTTATTCTACAAGGATATCGGGATGATCTGTGCCCTTACATCGTATTTATTCTACAAGGATATCGTGAAGATCTGTGACGTTACATTGTACTTTATTATACAAGGATATAGTCAAGATCTGTGCCCTTACATAGTACTTATTCTACAAGGATATCGCGATGATCTGTGATCTTACATGGTGCTTATTATACAAGGATATCGTGAAGGTCTGTGACCTTACATCGTACTTATAATTCAAGGATATCGTAAAATCTGTGACCTTACATAGCACTTCATTTTTCAAGGATATCGGGGAGATATGTGACCTTACAGAGTACCTTATTATACAAGGATATCGTGAAGATCTGTCACATTACATCGTACTTATTATACAAGGAAGAGGCACTCCTGCTTGACTGTATTGATTTGAGATAAATACAAGTGTAAAAACTAACGGCAAAGTTTACTTTATGTCATCAGAAGAGGCACTACACTGTTACTTTATGTTTATCAGAAGAGGGCAGTTGCATGTTTATGTTACTTTATGTCATCAGAAGAGGCACTGCGGTTACTTTATGTCATCAGAAGAGGCACTGCGGTTACTTTATGTCATCAGAAGAGGCACTGCGGTTACTTTATGTCATCAGAAGAGGCACTGCAGTTACTTTGTGTCATCAGAAGAGGCACTGCGGTTACTTTATGTCATCAGAAGAGGCACTGCGGTTACTATGTTACTTTGTCATCAGAAGAGGCACTGCGGTTACTTTATGTCATCAGAAGAGGCACTGCGGTTACTTTATGTCATCAGAAGAGGCACTGCGGTTACTTTATGTCATCAGAAGAGGCACTGCGGTTACTTTATGTCATCAGAAGAGGCACTGCGGTTACTTTATGTCATCAGAAGAGGCACTGCGGTTACTTATGTCATCAGAAGAGGCACTACGGTTACTTTGTCATCAGAAGAGGCACTGCGGTTACTTTATGTCATCAGAAGAGGCACTGCGGTTACTTTATGTCATCAGAAGAGGCAGACTGCGGTTACTTTACTTTATGTCATCAGAAGAGGCACTGCGGTTACTTTATGTCATCAGAAGAGGCACTGCAGTTACTTTATGTCATCAGAAGAGGCACTGCGGTTACTTTATGTCATCAGTAGAGGCACTGGTGTCATCAGAAGAGGCACTGTCATCATCAGAAGAGGCACTGCAGTTACTTTATGTCATCAGAAGAGGCACTGCAGTTACTTTATGTCATCAGAAGAGGCACTGCGGTTACTTTATGTCATCAGAAGAGGCACTGCGGTTACTTTATGTCATCATCAAGAGGCACTGCGGTTTACTTATGTCATCAGAAGAGGCACTGCAGTTACTTTATGTCATCAGAAGAGAGCTGCAGGTTACTTTATGTCATCAGAAGAGGCACTACGGTTACTTTTATGTCATCAGAAGAGGCACTGCAGTTACTTTATGTCATCAGAAGAGGCACTGCGGTTACTTTATGTCATCAGAAGAGGCACTGCGGTTACTTTATGTCATCAGAAGAGGCACTGCAGTTACTTTATGTCATCAGAAGAGGCACTGCAGTTACTTTATGTCATCAGAAGAGGCACTGCGGTTACTTTATGTCATCAGAAGAGGCACTACGGTTACTTTATGTCATCAGAAGAGGCAGGTTACTACGGTTACAGTTTTATGTCATCATGTCATCAGAAGAGGCACTGCAGTTACTTTATGTCATCAGAAGAGGCACTGCAGTTACTTTAAGTCATCAGAAGAGGCACTGTGGTTACTTTAAGTCATCAGAAGAGGCACTCCAGTTACTTTAAGTCATCAGAAGAGGCACTGCAGTTACTTTATATCATGACAAGAGGCACTGCTTTTACTTTATGTCATCAGAAGAGGGACTGCAGTGACTTGTGTTATCACAAGAGGCATGTTATCAGAAGAGGCACTGCAGTTACTTGTGTCATCAGTAGAGGCACTGCAGTTACTTTATGTCATCAGTAGAGGCACTCATCAGAAGAGGCAGTTACTACTTGTGTCATCAGTAGAGGCACTACGGTTACTCTATGTCATCAGTAGAGGCACTGCAGTTACTTTATGTCATCAGAAGAGGCACTACGGTTACTTTATGTCATCAGAAGAGGCACTACGGTTACTTTGTCATCAGAAGAGGCACTACGGTTACTTTATGTCATCAGAAGAGGCACTACGGTTACTTTATGTCATCAGAAGAGGCACTGTTACTTTATGTCATCAGAAGAGGCACTACGGTTACTTTATGTCATCAGAAGAGGCACTGCGGTTACTTTATGTCATCAGAAGAGGCACTGCGGTTACTTTATGTCATCAGAAGAGGCACTGCGGTTACTTTATGTCATCAGAAGAGGCACTGCGGTTACTTTATGTCATCAGAAGAGGCACTGCAGTTACTTTATGTCATCAGAAGAGGCACTGCGGTTACTTTATGTCATCAGAAGAGGCACTGCGGTTACTTTATGTCATCAGAAGAGGCACTGCAGTTACTTTATGTCATCAGAAGAGGCACTGCATGGTTACTTTATGTCATCAGAAGAGGCACTGCGGTTACTTTATGTCATCAGAAGAGGCACTGCAGGTCAGAAGAGGCACTACGGTTACTTTATGTCATCAGAAGAGGCACTGCGGTTACTTTATGTCATCAGAAGAGGCACTGCAGTTACTTTATGTCATCAGAAGAGGCACTGCGGTTACTATGTCATCAGAAGAGGCACTGTGGTTACTTTAGTCATCAGAAGAGGCACTGCAGTTACTTTAAGTCATCAGAAGAGGCACTGCAGTTACTTTATATCATCAGAAGAGGCACTGCTTTTACTTTATGTCATCAGAAGAGGCACTGCAGTTACTTTATGTCATCAGAAGAGGCACTGCAGTTACTTTATGTCATCAGTCAAGAGAGGCACTGCGGTTACTTTATGTCATCAGAAGAGGCACTGCACTGTGGTTACTTTATGTCATCAGTAGAGGCACTGCGGTTACTTTATGTCATCAGAAGAGGCACTGCAGTTACTTTATGTCATCAGAAGAGGCACTGCGGTTACTTTATGTCATCAGAAGAGGCACTACGGTTACTTTATGTCATCAGAAGAGGCACGGTTACTTTTATGTCATCAGAAGAGCAGAGGCACTACTTTAAGTCATCAGAAGAGGCACTGCGGTTACTTTATGTCATCAGAAGAGGCACTGCAGTTACTTTAAGTCATCAGAAGAGGCACTGCAGTTACTTTATGTCATCAGAAGAGGCACTGCGGTTACTTTATGTCATCAGAAGAGGGACTGCAGTGACTTGTGTCATCAGAAGAGGCACTGCAGTTACTTTATGTCATCAGAAGAGGCACTGCGGTTACTTTATGTCATCAGAAGAGGCACTGCGGTTACTTTGTGTCATCAGAAGAGGCACTACGGTTACTTTATGTCATCAGAGGAAGAGTTACTGCAGTAGAGGCACTGGTTACTTATGTCATCAGAAGAGGCACTGCGGTTACTTTGTGTCATCAGTAGGCACTAGAGGTTACGGTTACTTATGTCATCAGAAGAGGCACTACGGTTACTTTATTATGTCATCAGAAGAGGCACTGCGGTTACTTTATGTCATCAGAAGAGGCACTACGGTTACTTTGTGTCATCAGAAGAGGCACTACGGTTACTTTATGTCATCAGAAGAGGCACTGCGGTTACTTTATGTCATCAGAAGAGGCACTGCAGTTACTTTATGTCATCAGAAGAGGCACTGCAGTTACTTTATGTCATCAGAAGAGGCACTGCGGTTACTTTATGTCATCAGAAGAGGGACTGCAGTTACTTTGTGTCATCAGTAGAGGCACTGCAGTTACTTTAAGTCATCAGAAGAGGCACTGCGGTTACTCTTTGTGTCATCAGTAGAGGCTCAGTGGTTACTTTATGTCATCAGAAGAGGCACTGTGGTTACTTTATGTCATCAGAAGAGGCACTGCGGTTACTTTATGTCATCAGAAGAGGCACTGCAGTTACTTTATGTCATCAGAAGAGGCACTGCGGTTACTTTAAGTCATCAGAAGAGGCACTGCAGTTACTTTGTCATCAGAAGAGGCACTTACTTTAAGTCATCAGAAGAGGCACTGCAGTTACTTTAAGTCATCAGAAGAGGCACTGCAGTTACTTTATGTCATCAGAAGAGGCACTGCAGTTACTTTATGTCATCAGAAGAGGCACTGCAGTTACTTTGTGTCATCAGAAGAGGCACTGCAGTTACTTTATGTCATCAGAAGAGGCACTGTAGTCATTAGAGGAGGCACTTTATGTCATCAGAAGAGGCACTGCAGTTACTTAAGTCATTTATGTCATCAGAA